GTAATGGTAACAGTAGCAGCAATAATAATAATAGTGGCAATGATTATCTTGGTAATGGCCACGAGGACGAAGGATTGATTTTCGTTCGAAGGAGTGTAGTTGGTAATTGGTAAAAAAAAAAAATTGAAACTGGTGGAACCTAGATGAGATCAGATGGAGTTGACGAAAAGATGTAAAAGAGTATGGGAGAAGTGGGAGGGATGAGGGATAACCCATATGAAGGTACATTTCGGTCGAAGCATGCATAATCTAGGTACTGTTAAAAATTATGTATTAATAGTTACGTTATTGATTAGTCTTGTACTAAAAAAAAAGGCACCACAAGAAAGCCTAAAAACCTGTTTACATCAGCCAATGGGCTTTGAGACTAGTTTTCAATGACTATGTCGAACCATTAACGTGGCTCTAAAGATTCTTATTCAGTCTTCGACGTCCTTTACGACCTATTTAACTTAATACTGCTTGTCTTCGTTATAGCCTTGCTGGAAATAAAACGGAAATGCCAAAGGTGGATTCCACGATTTCATGCGGTCTCGAGATAAGATCCCTGGCAAGATTTGTTAGTGCTCAAAGTCACGATTCATATCCCGGGCAAAAATGGATTACGTATTAAATAAATGAAAGAACCACAGCCTCCATATGATTTTTACAAATCGTAGCGGGACCCACCGAAACTCAACTGGAAAGATCCTCGAGGATCCCGTTCTCGTGTTTTGAGAGGAAAAAAAAAAAAAAAAAAAAAATTGCCATGAAAACGGGTAACTCGATAGTCTTACGCGAATTCGAACTTGTACGAAAAATAATAATAGAGTTAAAGGCTCAATGCGAAATGCTTATACGTCTGTCTCCAATGCACCGACTACGGAGACAACAACTTTGCAGGCTGTTCTCGTCCACAATGCCTTTTTTCACGTCGGTTCGAGGGTACAGAATGCCATAAGCTACAGCCAGTTGCAGTAGGCTAGAAGGAGCAACGTAAATCGTTGAGAACGTTCAGCGTTGAGAACGACAAAGGATTTCGCTCCTACCCCGCAGATCCCGCCAAATGGACGATTTGACAATCACTGAATAAGCTGTTGCTCGTTTTAAAACGGTGGCTCAGTACTGAGCGGCTGGAGTGATAATCAATGATACCAGACACTTCGTCACGAAGTTTCGTACCAATCAACGCTAGTCGACGAGAATCCTATCGCACCACGAGGAAACGAGTGTCCCTGGGGTAGGTCAAGGCATGGAGACCGGATAGTAGGTTGGAGGAGGTTGACGATTGGAAAAATCCTGTGAGAATACGGTATAACCAGGATGACGTCTCAACAGGGAGAATAATGGCAGTCGTGGTGACCCCTGTACTTAAATATTAAAATTAAGAATACAATGAAACGCACTGATGCGCTCGTTTGGAATTAATAATTTATAGATACGCAATGCAATGCGTGCGCGCGATATTAAATAATATACTAGTTGAGCCTAAGAAGGCCGGATAAGAGATTCGAATACGTCGCGGGAGTCGGACATTCTTGTCTTTTTCGTTATTTGTTCCTGCCACTTGTCAGAGCGAAATCAACTGAGAAATTGGTGTGAACGAGTCCTTAGGTTTCGTTCGCATACACCACTCTGTCGCCTGCTCTCTCGTGTATGTTCCGCATCCCTTTTTTTTCGGATTACTCTTTTTTTTTTTTCCATGATTTTCTCGGATCAATTTCCACCCGGCTTACGTAGGCATGGACGATTATCCGTACACGTGAGTGCGTATACGTGTGATCGTGTGCGTGTACGAATGACGTAACTCCCGCTGAACGACTGATCTCGGCCAATGGATTTTTTGTGCCTTTTTTCGGATTCTCGGTTTTTTTGTCGCATTTACTTTCTTTTTTACTTTGTCTTTCCGTGCGTTCGGTACGTGTTAGGTGAAGTAGGCCGGCTCCGATTTGGCCAGGAAGTGTTTGGCCTCCAAGCGCATAAACGGCGATATGAGAGAGCCCTCCCGTATCCCGTGCTTCAGCTTTATGTGTCTTTTGAGATTGTCTGATCTGGTTAACGATATCAGACAAATGTGGCACTGATACTTGTCGGGAAAATGTGATTTCATGTGCTTTTTTATGTTGGCTACGCTCTTCCCGCAGAGCTTACAACTTTCAGAACCGAGTTGCGCCTCTAACTTATGACTGTCATACTTTAAATCCTTTTCTTTTTTGCAAGTTCCTGTCGTTCCTGGAATACAAGATTCCATTTCAATGATTGTTGCAAACGTTCTCTCTTTTAAAACAGAGTCTACCATAATTCACGCTCTACGCAAAGAATTCAAATTAAGATACGTAAACGCACTGTGATCAATTCGGAATTTTCAACAAAAAAGTAAAATCAATAAGGTACGAACGAAATGCGCAATTAACGGCAAAATAAAGAGAAAATAATAATAATAATAATAATAATAATAATTCACAGGAATAACGTAACAATATTCCCATGTACAAATATAAACTATAAATATATATATATATAAAACATGTCTTCAAAAAATACCACACTGTTACCTACTGCAGCAAATATAGTGTAAGCGGCACACCTACGTTTCAAACGGTATAGTGACGTGAAAAGAGTGAACAAAAAATCTATTTGAAAAGAAAAAAAAAAAAAAAAACAATAACAATAACAAAATACAAAATAAGATAAAAGCAAAAGAAACGACATATCGTACGAGATCCACAGATCGACTGATAGTCAGAAATTTTCATAGTAACGTTACTCTATTCTGCATATGCTTACACTCTCTCAAGACATCAGTGACAACCGGCCAACCTCATCACGAGCCGTAACAATTCATCTTGAACGCCACTAGTTACGCTTCTCACATCGCTACGTAGCATACGTGTAATAATAACAATAACACGAATGCGCGATTTACTGTAAAATTGTAAAATTGAAACGCGTCTCCGTCCACGACTGCAAACAATTCTTAATTGTAACAGACAACGCGTCTTTCCTTTCATCCGAACGCATCTTTCGCGTGCGAATAAGATTGAGCCATTTCTTTTTTTTCCAAAAAAAGCGAAACATTCTCATCGGTTACGACGAATCGTTTCCACGCATTTTTTTCTCACGTTTCCCCTTCAACGACATATATAATATATACACACACAATATCATTGCACACTTTGCACGTAGAACGATTATTTGTCATTCTTCCTCTATATAGACATATATATATGTATATACTGTATGTTAATATATTTCTCTTTTTTCTTTTTCTTTTTTTTTTTTTTATTAATTCCTTGCTCTATTTCTTTCCTTTCTTTACTCTGTCGTTCGTGTAACGTATATCTTTCCTTTCTCTTTTGCTAAACGTGACTTACGTCGGAGTCGAGTGTCAAGTGATAACACCATGCAGCGAATGAACAGAGCAAGATGTGAGAATGATGATCGAGATCGGCTAGGCACGTGATGTAGACACGATAAGTATGTAAGAGGGTAGAGAAAAACAGTATACAGAGACATGCACCGAGAACCCCATCGTGATATTGCATACAAATAATATATATATATATATATATATTTTCATATTTAAATACACATATATACATTATAATTATAATACGTAAAAGCATATATGTAATTCAATGTATACGTGTATATATCGTATATATATATAATATTGGTGTATCTCGTACATATCGAAAACCGTTAATTCGTCATACATACGTGTACAACAATAAATAATTCAACAGAATCTCAACAGCCACACACTTCAACCCACACACCATCATCAGACACAACGAGTACAGTCCATTTGCTTATATACCTTATCCCAAAAACCAACTGTTGTTAAAAGTGCTTTTGTTTTTCTCACGCATATATACATATATATCCTCACGTAATGTATATATGTGTATATATTATAACATATTAAGAAGACATTTACATAGTACTACCACAAATGACTTTAGCAAATGCACGATACCATCACCACAATACTAAGACTCGTATATAGTATGTATATATCTGATTATCTAAAAAAAATATACATATTTCGCTACGCTCGGCAAATTTTTGGAAATAGAGGGATGCTCGTCTCGTACGCCAACTTTATGTATGTACGTACGTAGGTCTCGTCAAGGTATTCATTACAAAAACAGACATGCACATCTCCCTCGATTTCTGAAGACCTGACGTATTTCCCGTGTGCCCGACGCGAAGTTATTTAAGAAATTGTAATTGACATTTGCCTACGTTTACGACGGATATCTCGAATGGGTGACAGCGACTGGTATATATGAAAAACTTTGAACCCGGAGTCTCTGAGCTTTTATTTCCGTTTCAATCAAATTTACTTTGTGATTTCTTCTAATGGAAACAGATGTTTCATTCCAATTTCGTACTGAATCTGGAACAGGATCTAGTGAAATTGCCAAACCAGCGGTATCTGGGTGAGGATATCAATAAAAAATGAAATGCTCCAAAATCGAATGTGCTTCGTAGCCTGAGTATCCGGGACAGATAAATTGGCACGTAACGAGCGACGGGAAATATGTCGGGTCTGAATGAATATACGTTTATAACGTTATAAGATCTTACCATCAAGTCCGTCGAGTATTTCGTGTGGGTTGTGGGTCTCGGACGGCTCTGTTCCTGGCACTACGTCAGTCAGGACACTCGTCGGAGGCCCTCCGTCGTCCCCTAGCAGCCCGACTGGATGGCCCTGTACACGTATAAACGGAAGAATGATTAGAGGACACGTGAGTAAAGTGAAAAGAGAAGAGAATAAAAAGAGAGAGAAAAAAAAAAAGAAAAGCAAAGACCAAAGCTTACCATTGATCGAAAACGATACTTTGATCTACCAAGAAAGATCGTAAATCGACATAAAAAGGACATTCTAATTACACAAGGACGCGTCTTAAATTCAGCCGAAGGATTCTTCCTCGCGACAACACAGCCCCTACGGGTGGAGGTAAGAACTATAAATATTTTTGGAGAATTTCTTTGAAACGCATCGGAGTCCATACTGAACGACCATAAAGGGTGCTTTCAAGAAGCACAATGATTTATTGCATACGACTTGATAAACGTGGTACAAATGGTGCGGTAAAACTAAATTACAACGACAAACTAATTCGCAGCAACTACTTATGCATGTATCTGAGGTACATTAAGCACTCTTTTTAATAATCGTATCGCAATAAGACCTACGCCAGATTACCACTCGGTATTTACATCTAAATCCCCGAAGGCGCCCGAATTACAGTGCACCGTGGATGCGTATAAAAATATAAATAACGCGTTATCGGTACCGTAGATTATTCTGGATCGGTGTGAAGCTACGTATCGCTACGGATGAAACGAGAGTGAAGTTTTATCGATGAAATGCCGTAAATTCTTAGGAAAAGCTTCGGGATACAATTCACGAATGGATGTTCGCGTAGCGAGAAATCGCGTAGTAGATACTGAATACTTAAGCGGTAGGGATAATCTTGGGACTCCGGATACAAAGGACGCAAATACGTATCGAAGTCCGTCTCTATTCGTTCCTGAGTATCGCTCGCATTTACCTACGTTTATATCACCCCTATGTATCACAATATGGAACACGTATGTACTAACGTATCGTCTGGAGGACCTACCTTCGGCAGGAGACATGAGAATGGCAAAGCGCTTTTACAATTACGTACGCGCGACAGTAATGGACAACGAGAGTTAGCCCACGTTAATATTCGCGCCACCCAAGACAGCAGTGCTTATTTCCTTGTCCCCGGAACTTTCTCGTTTAATGTCTTAATTCGCACTGCGGGCTGCGCGGCCCAGGAGGTTACGCCAAAATATGGCAGCAACGAGAGCTCGTTACGCGTAAAACTTGAGTGGCCCCTGGGAATGCCATGCAGCGCACGTAATCCCGAGTCATGTCCAAGGCCTAAAACTCTCATCTGGACGAACGGCACAATGAATAACAATTGACAGCGTGGATGCGCTCGCTTCGTAAAAGTCGAGCCCCGCATCCCATTTCAAGAGTAACTCCGGCGCACTGTGAGACACAGGTGCCGAGAGCTATTTTAAATCTGATACGACCAAGCTGAGCGGCGTGACGTCGTTTTTACAAGTTTTCGAAATTGCCTTTTTTCCCCCCTCCTCCCGCCCTTCGCACCAGAAAACACTCTTGACGCGTCGGACTTTAGCGCGGAAAATCCACTTTTCGCGATACATACACTACGTTCGGCCCGCAGGGCATCCTCGGGCTCGCGCGTTTACGTAACGGCACGAATATAATGTTGTTTCGCGGGTTCCGGCGCAGCTTTCAATGAAAACGCACGATAGAACCATCGCGGAACTGCATCACCTTGGAAAATTACTACTTTGGCATTCCTTCGCGCTATAAGCGCCATCTATGCAATCTTATCGCTTCTTATACGTTCTCACAAGATACTTCCCTCGTGGATACTTGTTGCAATGCACATACGTATACCGTGTGTCCTTATATTAATATACTCGAACTACTCTACGCTATGCTCTCGAATGATCGTTCTCTTTCGCGCTTCCACTCTATCTCTAACTATCTCTCTCTCTCTCTCTCTCTCTCTCTCTCTCACTCTCGTATGTATCTATAAGAACGGATGAGTATTTACGTAATCACAATGTATCTTCCTCCGTATACACGCCACCGCGCACATTGGTCCGGTAACGAATTTCCTGTTGCCAAGCACTTCGAACGAGCTTGCGGAACGAACGAGTGCAATATTTCCCTTTGAGCTTTCGACATTGGATAAGGGTATCCATGTACGTACTGACGGAGTCTCGCGGAGGGGGAATAAAAATGTATCAAAGTGTCAGGCATGTCAAAAGTTGGCTGACGTCACCGCTTCGACAGAATAGAGGTGACGTAGCATCTGGCACGATGTTCGCATTGTTGCGCATGCTGCAACGTAGTAACTTTTCTCACGAGTATAGAAAATCAACGAACTCCTAGCCTCGGACTGAGCATGGCAATGCTAGCTGTGTGTAACGAAGGAAAAAACGTTGGCGCGCGGTAAATAGTACGTTACGTCATTACAATGTTGAGATCCCGGCACTAACGAGAGAAACGATCGAAAATTCATATACTGCATTTACGTTACGACACGATGCTCGGTGTGAATCGAATGTTCTCGCATATTTTCTGAAAACTCTATTTCACTCTGCTGCGTGTCTTGGTGCCGTTGCTAGTATTATATTTGTACATTGAAAAAAGTTTTTGGTAAAGTGAACGAAAAACATTTAATCGACTGATAATCAATTCTGCCAGTAGCCAGTGAGCTACGTACGTGGGCCATTTAAATATGGCCTGTGGGCAAATTGGTAAAAATATTTTAACACAGTTTTCGAGCAATTTTTAAGTATATGCATTTCCTGTCTGTGTGCTTAGTCCTGCCACGCGAAATTCTAATGCGAAAGGACAGCTCGTGAAAAGCCAGCGGTATGCTTCAAAGAAGTATTATTTACTTGGGTTACGTGTACTGTAGTCGATGGAACTGAGTAATATGAGGTATATACTGTAACCACGCGATGGAGTTGAGATAACAGCGCAGGTTTCGTTCAATGAATTTTATCTTAATCGATAGAAATAATATTCACTAGAAACAAATAAATCTTTCTTCACAGTGTATCCACGATTAGCCAATACGCGATAACGCATTCGTCGGACTTTATCGTTATTGGAAAGTTTCATGAAAATAGTACAGGTAATGTATATATGTATATACATACAGGGGTGAAGCATTTTAATCGAGCTGTCAAATAACTTAACAACAAGGTGCTATGCTAAGAAAATGTTTGAGAGAAAAGTTGTATGGGTTTAAGGGGGGCAATAGAGTGTGGCCTACTTTAATTGAAACCAACCATCAATAATATTCAAGTAGGCATATTCCATTGGCCCCTCAAACTCCTACAACTTTTGTCTCAAACACTTTTTTCATATAAGACCTTGTCTTTGAGTTATTTGACAGTCTCGATTTAAATGCTTCACCCTGTATATAAAAACATACGAAATACGTCACGCATTCGCATGCAGGGTCCCACTTGTATAACCTCACAGGATATGTAATGGAATTTCGGCACTGTAAGTATAAACGTGCAAAGAGATACGATACGCAAGTCCAAAAATAAAAGTGCTTTATCGTTTGGAGAATCGCTTTACCGACAAGGCACTTGTCAATCATGACCGAACTTACAAATAAAGAGCATTCCCCCATAAAGACCGAAAGCCAAGCCTATCGTTACTCGTCACGTGGAATCCGTTTCACTTTCTCAATGCACGTGACGACTCCTATACGCGAGACAAAAACATTCGCCACTGACGTGACCTGGAGTCTAGGTCAGGGTCATTACAAACCCCTGCACCCGCCGATGCCTAGTTAATGTTCCTTAAAACGTGACTACCAAACCACCCCCTTTAATAGAAATAAAAATCTGTCGCAGCGTAACAAGAAAATTGTGTATCACAGACGAAAACCGGAAGAGGCAGGAGCGCAAGCTCTCAAAAAGATTCGGTAGCAAACGAGTACGAGTCCCTCGATTCGCCGTCCTTGGCGACGCACAGATTGTGCGCCTTGCACTTGTCATGATGATTGACAATCTCGAGCCTGAAGTTGCCGTTTCCCGCGGCAAACGAGGTACGAATCTCAGGAATAGTGTCGCTCCATTTCCGGCAAAATTTGCAGAACATGAGGTTAGACCTCTCGTCGTACTGCAACCAGGAGTACGTCTGGAGCCAGCTCGGCTTAAATCTCCCGGCTTTTCTAGGATGCGAAGTGGGTCGTTGCAAAGGGCCGCAGACAGTGGACTGTATCACGGAGATGTCCTGTCTGAATGCGTCGACGTTAACGATTTTGCCGGTGCCGCGATTATCGTTGGTCCCGGCGACACCGGCAGAGACGGTAGGAACGGCAGCATCGGCGACGGCTTTGGAGTTGGTACCGGAGCACTGAGACACGGAGCTAGAGGGCAGAAGCGTCGCCTTGGAACAGCTATAGGTCGCTACGTTCCCCGCGTCATACGACGATTTCGGGAGCAGGCTAGCTCGTGCGGCTTTACGTCGTTTCCCATGGTATTCGGTTAGAGCTGCCGATGAGGTATTGATACATAGTAGGGAGCCGCCGGCCATGATGGTGCTCTCGCGAGAGACTTGCAACAGGGCGGAAATCGGACGACCGGGACGAGCCGTGCTCGGTGCGTCCATAGTTTCGTCACTCTTCCCATCATCTCTCTGAACCTCCCACTCCACACTAGTCTGTCAACAGAGAAGGAAAGGACGTGTGTTTAATCAACACATTTGAATTTTGCCTTTTAGCTAACACGAAGCCAATCTTTGTATCTCCATTTGCCAAATTATCCCTTCCTTCCCATGTCTCCTTCGACTCAGTTTTTCGTAGGATCTCAGCAATTTCTGCTTGCTTTTTTTTTTTCCTTTTTTTTTTTAACACTTTTTTTTTTTTTCTCAACAGCACAGAAGTCACTTTCTGCTTCTCTGTCTCTCTCTCTCTCTCTCATCTCGTTCCTTCGTCACAATGTCGTTTCCCACGTGCGTGGGAGGAGTAACGAAACTATAGAGTACTCAAGCCCGTCGTCGTTTCGACAGAGTACTTTGGAATCGCTGGTACAGGAAGAAGAACAAATTAATGGGACATCCCAAAAATTCCGAAGATTCGTCTCCTGAGCTTGAGCTTCGAACCGCGAGGAAAATTGTCGACGTGTCGGGTATTTCGGAGCATCGATCGAATACGTCACGAGAAGATACTTCTATGTTTCTTGAATGATCGCGAGAAATCCACAGGTGGTACCAAAAAAAAAAAAAAAAAAAAAAAAAA